TTAATCATCTCGGAATTTACCCAGATTTATTTATTTATTTAGACAGAGATCCTGACAATATAATTCTAAGAGTAAATAAATGGCCACTTACTGTTACATTTAAGACCCATGCTTTTAACTGATCTCTGATCCTTTCTTTTCATTGTTTGACGCAGGAAGCTCCTGGAAGGGGAGGAGTCTCGCTTCAGTGTAGGTATGGCCGGGGGAGTGTCCCCGTTGTACAGCCACAGTTTGTCAGCACCCTCTTTCGCTAGGCCCGTCTTCTCCAGCCTGAGCTCTGGCACCTCCTACCTGATGACCTCACGCCTGCTCAGCTCCAGTGTCAGCACCACTGAAGGCATCATCTCTGCCAGCCATGCCCAGCAAGCAGAGGCCAGCCCACCTGGTGAGGAGGAGGTGGAAGAGGAGGAAAAGGAGGAAGAGGAAGCTAAGGAAGAAGAGGTGGGAGAAGAAACAGAGGAGAAAAAGGATGAAGAGGAAGAGGAAGGTGAGGAGGAGGGTGAGAAAGAAGATGAAGCTAAGGAAGTAGAGGAAGAGGATAAGGAAGAAGGCGAGGGTTGGTGTAACTTGCTCAGTCATGTTCTATCAGTCAAATAAATATCAATTATTAGTGTCATGGTAACTAAATTGTCATCTCTTGATTCAGGTGGTGATGAAGAGGAGCAAAACGAAGATGCAGCAGAAGCTGCCGAAGATGAAGGAGAGAAAGAGGGAAAAGATGAAGGGGAGGAAACTGAAGCACAAGAGGAGGCAAAAGCAGAAGGAGCTGATGACAAAGAAGATGATACAAAAGATGAAGCACAAGAGCAGGAGGAAGTTCAAAAGAGTGAGGAGAAAGAAGATAAAGCTGATGACAAAGACGTGAAAGCTGTTCCAAAAAAAGATGACAAAGCCGAAACAAAAAAGGAGAAAGATGAAGAGAAAGCTGCCCAACCTGAGCCGGCTGAAGAGAAGAGCACAAAGGATAAAAAGTAAACCGTTATGGTCAAGACTGTCCACAAAAAAACTGCAGCTTAAAGACAGGTAGAGGCAACAGTGCTGTCCTCTTAGATCTGCTTGTTAACATGGTGCTCAATAACACAGTCCAACAGCCATTTAAAGCAACAAATCAAGGTTAATTGCTTACCAATGTTCCGAATAGCCCATAAAGGTCTTGTTGCACAGTTCTGAGTGAATGTAATAGTGTATGTGTGTGAGAGTTCTGGTGGGTAAATAAATTATTCTTAAAGCCGTGCATCTCACTGATTTTGAGCCCTGATTTAAAGATTATGCTGACATGCATACAGATTTATAATATAGTCCTCATAGGCACTTGGAAATGTAGAGACGTGTGTTGATTTATTATTTCCTTAGCAGGCAGAGAGGTGAGCAGCCCAATCACTTATTGCACTCACACTGACAAATACAGACATTTAGTGTCACAACATTGCCTCTAAGATAATTGCTATCCTGCTGTGTTACAAAAGATCCTGCTGTAGTTCAAGATTGATTTTGAACACCAAAGAATGTGGCTTAAAAACCATAATCTTCATCTTACAAATAAAAAACTGTTTAGTAGTAAAATCAGATTAAAATTTTCATCTTCTATACTGTCTGAGATCACTTGCTGCTCACCATATATTGGGTTACAGAGCAAGTTTGTAACTTTTGAATGCTGCCTGGATTTATAATGAGTATCTAAACTCACTGTGTAGTTTACTCAAAGTATCACACATCGCCTCTTTAAGAATAACATCCAATGATTGTCACTAGCCTTGTCCTTCAAAGATCTGAGATAATTATGCATCGGAATGAAGGGAAAATGACAAATGAATATGAGGAAGAAAAGAAGCATTAAGGGCTGCAAAGTATTCATCTTTATTAAGCTAAGGTAATATGCTCAGTATGTTATGTATTTATCAGAAATATCACAGAAATATATGTTGGCATTTACACATAGCTACATTTCATCTACCACATTACAACTGTGTAACAGCAATGAAGAACTGAAAAGAAAATCATCCCAATATCTAAAACGTGCTCCTCATGTCACCAATTACCTTAAAGCATTGTGATCTAATTGAATTCCCCACACAAGGAATTGAGAGTAGTGAAGTTCAGAGCATTAAAAGGCATGTTTTCAGACTATAACAAAGATATTTTTGGTCTTTATGGATAGTTACCACCTTCACCTGCTGAATCATTTAAATTGTGATTTAAGGGGTGGAGTTTGCTGACACAGGCTGCTGTTGTTGGTAGACTGGGAGTCACTGAACTGGAAATGTCGCCAATGTTTGTGACGTGAGTGCCTTGTAGGGCATTTTAGGTTTATTAGCATTGATTACTACCATTGATTAGCAGCAGGAGTGACAAAAGTACTGACTTTCTTTATTTAAGTAGAAGTACAAATGCCTTTACTCCATTAAAAGTTGTAGTATTGAAGCATTTTTACTCAAGTAAAAGCAAAAAAAAGTACAGGCTCTGAATTTACTCAGAGTAACAATGGAAAAAGTAGCTACACAATTCTACTAGCCATTTTTGTACCAATGTAACTGAACTTGTGCTATATTAATATAATAATAAGTAAATATTAGTATATGAGAATATAGAAATTATTAACATTTTAACATTCTAATTTCAATCAAACTGCTGTGTTTGAATCTATTATACAGGGCACATGCAGTGAAAGAAAATTTAAAAAAAAAATAACTATTTTCTGTCACCTACATTGCAGACGAGGACTTTCCCTCCACACCTAAAAAGTAAAACAAGTCAGGGGTTAAAGTGGGATTCAGCAGGTCGGAAAACCCCGTGTAGTGATCTGTGTACTGGAGCAGCATGGGGAAAATAATCACAACTCACAATAATTTCTAATATAAGCTTCAGTAGATATTCTTGGTGTACATGATGTGAACAGCTGACCTGTTGCTCTTTGTGGATTTATGCAACTGAACTGGCTGATGTCCATCCCCTACAGTGACACTACTTTGTTTATACTGTCTTTACACTAGACTGTATAAAGTTGGAAGTCAGTGAATGAATCTAAACATCATCAGCTTAAATGCAAAATTCATCTTTGCTTCGCTTGATGTAACCTCCCTTCAGGCTTCCTCCTCTTCTGTAGTGCAAGCCAGATTCTGAAGTACCGCAAACACAACTTAATATAAATATAATATAATAAAAACACTACAAGAAAGTGCAGATATTTGTTTAAAAATGTAGGGAAATATAGTTAAAAGTTGTCAGAAAAATAAATACTCATGTAAAAGTTCAGATACCTGAAAATTCTACTTAAGCACAGTAAAGAAGTATTTGTACGTCATTACTTCTCACCTCTGATTAGCAGGTATTGTGTGTATGCATCCATCTTTTATATACAGTCTATAGCCATACTATAGTCTATAAGCGCAGTAGTGGTGTGCGGATCGATACTGAAATATCGATTCCTCCGATACCAGTCATTTATGTTCTAGAATCGATTCTCATATTAAAATATCGATATTTTAGTAATTTAGGGTAAATTTGTAGTTTATCATTAACAGGAACACAGTGGAAAGAAACTATAACATTCGGATTGTCTACATTGGAAGGAACTACTTCCTCTTCCGCCTTTCATAGTCATATGCGAAATATGGCTGTATAAATGTGTTGCAGCCCCTTGGCATGGCACTCACAACAATGGCTGAGGGTAAATGGAGTCATGTGTGGACGTATTTTACCTCCACAAACAGCCGAGACATGGTTTGTGATACATGTGGCAAGAAAGTGAGGTGTTGTGGCAACACCACTAACCTCGTCAAACACCTCAGAGTAAATCATATCACAGAATATGATGTCTCTCACGGAGTCCTTTAGTGCTGCAGGCAGGCAGCGTGTTCAAATAGCGCACAACTTCAGTTTTTTTTTATTTCTATATGATGCATTCTGCATTTTCAAGTGATAAGAACAAGTAATCTGATATCCTGTAATCATGATGACGCTATAATTTGAGATACAATAAATAAAATACGTTTTTGTACAAAGTATCGGTATCGGATCAGTATTGTCGATACCACCCTGAATTTTACTTGGTATGGGATCGGAAAGGAAATCAGTGGTATCACACATCACTAAAGCGCAGCAGCCTTGGGCTCTGGGCGAGTAAAGGGATGCTTAGATGCTTAAAAGTGACGCTTCTCACTTTTAAGACATACATTTATTTTAATTTAAACACCACAAAGCCAAAGTTTACTGATAAAGAAAGAGAGGAATGGAGGCCAGAGAAACGAGCTTCCATGACTGCCAAGTTGTTTGCTTTCTTTAAAAAGAAAAGTAGCAACAAGAACCAAACTCGCTTGTCCAGGACTTAATGTTTCTAAACTGGTGCAATGCGGAGAAGTGCGAGTACACCACGAGCTACTTTATTTCCATGTATTTATTTTTAAATGAAATTCATGCTGATACTAATGATTAACCAGTGACACCCAACCAAGATCGCCCATACCATTGTTTTCCCAATTATCTCAAATAGCTCCCTATAGTTAATATTCTGTTGTCTCTCCTAATGTGATTTTTTTGTTTTGTTTTTTTGTTTAAAAATGCCATTTACACACAAACACACGCTGGTCCACGTCATTAAATTAGGCTTTTGGAACCCTTGTGGTGGGTTTTTAAAAAGACACTGATGCTATTTAATACTGATTTTCTGCACCCAGCCTGTCAGTGATCACATCTGTCGTCACTGCTGGGTTTATGTTGCTGTTGACAGGAAACAAACCAAAGGCACATTTTATATTAAATGATATTTTTTGAAAACATCCTGGGAATATTATTTTAGCACCACAGCCCTCCCAAGCACCTCTACCACCTTAATATTTAATTATGTCAAGTTTTTTGAAGGAAGGATACAACACTTTTACAGTAACTACATTCAGTTGCTAATAAACTATGTAATATTCTGTAGCTGTAATGCTGTATTGCTGCAGTGCTGTATACAGTTGCAAAAAATATGATTAAAAGAATAATAAAGTGACAACAGACAGTTGGCGTTTTGAAGATCTTTATGACATTTATTGAGCAAATGCTGCTGGGAAATTGTTCATGATGAGTAAAGTCATGGGATTGCAAATAGTAGCACCTCATTAAATTCTGTATTTAAATTCAAGTCCATCCTATGCATACAGGAATGCATGTTTCTATCATTTACAGTATATATTGTTTTCAGTTGCACTCAGGTAAACATAACAGACAATGATAAAAAGCATGTTTAAGGCTAGGAGTTTCTTTAGGTTTCTTAAGCTTTATCTGCTTCGGTAAATGGATGTATATGGTATTGTGTTTATCATATCACCGTCCATTTCTTCCGTCACTGTCGGCTGTGTATTTGTTGTTGTTAGTTTCTTTTTGGCTCAGTTGGTATCTTCTCGTGTCAAGTAAGGCTTCGTCAGTAGAATACATATGTCTGCATCGAGGACCCTCCATCCGCCAGTCCCCCACTTTTGCTTCAACTCAAAAACCCTCTCCGCAGTAATATTGTTTATTGATTGCTTTCTAGTATTTACTCTTTTTAAGGTGTATTTCTACCATACAGAGAGGAAAGTATTCCGCTCCCCTGAGCTAACATGCAGAGACACCCCACCCACCCAAGCACCCACCCATTCGTGAGCTCACCCACTAACTGCAGAAAGGAAAAGAAATATAAGGAAGAATAAAATATCTCAGTCACTTGCTCCTGTCCGCGTCTGCTGTGAAGCCCGTTTGAAGCTTTCACTCAACATGCATTTTTGAAATTTGTAGCGTTTAACTTTTGTCTTCTCGCTCTGACTTGTTTTGTATGTTTGAGAGTGGTTATCTTTATTACATCGCTCTAGCTGTATGATTTTCTTTGTTATGTTAGTTCTGGATTGATTGCTTGTGTTGTTCTCTCCCCTTCCTCCCCTTCCTTCTCTGCTCACTCGCTCTCCGTCACCTGCTTGATAGACTGAGTGGAGTGTTTCTCGGTCTTCTTAGTAGAGACCAGTTTCTCCTGCAGCATCTCTTCCGCCTCCTTCACTGTTTCGGTAACAGTGACGGACTTGATGACATGCTTTGACCCATCCTCTCCGGTGGTGATTGTCTCCACGGTCTTGGTGATCACAACCTTCTGGCTGCCGTCTTCCTTGACAGGACTCTCGTCTACGCCGTTGGTGATCACGTCAGCTTCTTTTCCTTCATCCTTCTTCTCTTTCTCCTCAGGGCTACTCTTGTCTATGTCGCCGTTCATGGCAACATCTTTCTTTTCAACTTTCTTCTCTTCTGTTGGCTCGCTCTTTTTCTCAGTCTTGTCTTCAGTGCTTTTAGGAGCCTCAGGCTTTGCGGTCTTTGGGGATTCAGCTTTTGGGGAGCTAGATTTTGGGGATGCTTCTTTTGGAGACTCTGCTTTAGGAGAAGCAGGCTTGGGAGATTCAGATTTAGGAGACTCTGGTTTTGGTGATTCAGACTTGGGGGAGGCAGGCTTTGGGGAATCTGACTTTGGAGAGTCAGGTTTTGATCCCTCTGTTTTGGGAGCTTCTTCTTTCTTTGGAGATTCAGGTTTTGTTTCCTCAGATTTAGGAGCATCTTCTTTCTTGGCCTCGGCCTTTGTAGCTTCAGTTTTTGGAGCCTCTGTCTGGGTTACAGCTGGTTCTGAGTCTGGCTCATCTTTTCCCTTCTTCTCATCTTCCTTTTTGCCTGCATCCTCTTTTTCCTCCTTCTCATCTCCACTTTTGGATGCTTTGTCACTACCTGCATCTTCATCCTGATCTCCACTCTCTTCTTCAGCACCTGCTCCCTCCTCTTCTCCACTGCCCTCTTTGTCTCCAGCCTTCTCTTTGTCAGGAGAGGCTTTAGACTCTGGAGCTTTGGTGCACAACATTGTCTCCTCAACTTCTTCCTCCTCTCCTCCTCCCTCTCCTTCTTTATCACCTCCCTCTGCATCATCCCCCTTTTCTCCCTCATCCTCACCCTCACCACCTTCTCCCTCTGCTTCTTCTTCCTTCTCATCCTCCTCACCACCTTCTCCCTCTCCCTCTTCTCCCTCATCACCACCTTTTTCATCCTCCTCTTCCTCCTTGCTGGGCGCACTCGAGCTAACTTTGGCTTCAGTGACAGCTACGACTTCTTCTTCTTCTCCTCCCTCCTCTCCTTCTCCCTCTTCCACCTCACCCTCTGCTTCCTCTCCCTCTGCCTTCTCCTCCCCTTCTTCCTCTTCACCGTCCTCTCCTTCCTGTGTGGCAGAGAGCTCTTGCGCTAGCTCTGCCAGGGCCTCATCCATTTCAGCCTTCTCATCCTCAACCCTCGTCTCCTCAATGATCTCCTCCACAAACTTGTGCTGCACCTTGAGCTTTGTGGGCTCCGACTTAGGCTTAGAGATTTTAGTGGTGGTGACAGTCTGGCGGTAAGGGAAAGTGCTGAAGTGGGTCTCCTCACCCTCTAGGAGTTTCCTAGTGTAACAAATGCATAAATCAGATATTTAAAGTATGCTTTTATATGAAAAGGACTGCAAATATTGTTTCAAAATTTAATTTCAATTGTGCATGAGTGTATCCTGTACCTGTATGCAGCTATTTCAATGTCTAAGGCCATCTTGACATTGAGCAGGTCCTGGTACTCACGCAGGTGACGAGCCATCTCCCATTTGGTGCTCTTGAGCTCATTATCCAGCTGGTGAATTGTTTCCTGAGTGAAATACACAAAAATCAGGTTGTTATAGGGTTGAATATGTTGAATAATTTAAATGCAATACGAGGTCCAGTGCTCAAAACCAGTCTTCATGTATTATGCAATTTTTTTTGAAGCCTTAATAGTTTTTCCAAATTATCTGTTGCAGTGTTGCCCATGTCTTTCTGTAAACTCTGCAGACTCTGCGCAACAAGGCTGCTTGCTTTTTAATACATTCTGACGCAATACAGTATTCTAGAGATGTTGAATGCCTCTGTTTCAAGGGCAGCCTCCGCACTCTTTCAATACACCCCCACCCTCGCCCTAAAATCTCAGTGGTGTGATGCAAGGACAGAGCCAATCAAGGCATCGACCCATTGCCTCTGACTCAGCAAGAGAGAGAGAGCGGGAGAGAGAGAAAGTCTGCTGCAGCGATTCCTTTTAACCATTTCGTGACTCTTGGAAATCTCTCCAGCTTGTGAATACAATCAGCCTGCTTAAGAGAAAAGTGTTTGTGCTTAACAGTGACAGTTTGGCAGAAGGGGACAAATGTTACAGAACCTGTCAAACATAACAGAAACTAATATTTTATATTTGTGAATGTTTTTTTTAATTTGATTTTAAAGGCTCACGCTTAAATGCTGCGTCAGTAAAACATAAATGTGTCCTATTAAGAACATCAACTCTTTTATCAAGTTTTAAAAACAGGCTACACAATTCTTTAAGAATAATCTATGACATTTCAAAACAGAATTGCCCTGTTTTAGAGTTGAACGTCTGTTCTCAGCCCACCTTCACCGCTCTTACCAGGCTGCCTTCTTACCTGCAGGCTGGCCAGATCGCTGTTGTGGCGGTCCTCGATGTCATTAAGCTGTCTCTCCAGTGAATCTCTTGTACCGCGGACGGACTCCAGCTCCACCGTCTTGGACTGCAGCTGACGGCGATAGTCGGCTATCTCGTCACGGGCGGACTTTATGGCGTCCTTGTTTTGCTCTGCAGCCTCGGTCAGCTTGACGTAGCGGCACATGAACCAGTTTTCCACCTGCTGCAGGTTCTGGTTGGAGTGGCCCTCCAGCTCGCTTCGAATCTCCCGGAGAGCCTCGGTGATGTCAGCCTTCTGGAGGTCTTTCCTTTCCACTGTCACCTGAGACGCCTGAATCTGGGCGATGAGGTCGCTGACTTCTTCCTCGTGATTGTTGCGGATGAAGGCGATTTCATCCTGCAGCGACTGAACTTTCTTCTCCAACTCAGACTTTACCAACTCCGAGTCGCTCATGTCCTTCTTCAGGACACGGATTATGGCCTCTGTCTCCTCTCGGATGCGAGCTTCTTCTTCAAAGCGGTCTCTGATCCGCTGGATGTCCTCGTCGATGTGGTCCGTGTCGAGCTGAATTTGTGCCTTGTCATGGTGGATTTGCTCCAGCAGCTCCCGTAGCTCCCGCAGCTCCTGGTCATAGAGGTCGTCCATCTGGGAGCGTGACACCTGCTTCTGCCGCAGTGCCTGGATCTCCGCCTCGATCTGCTTGTTCTGCTGCTCCAGGTAGTGCACCTTGTCAATGTAAACAACAAACCGGTCATTGAGCCCTTGAAGTTGCTCTTTCTCGTTAGAACGCTTGTAGTCTCCGTTCAGGATAGAGGTTTGACTATAATCAACGCTGTCGGCGGAGCTCAGCACAGCTGAGCTGTATGTCCGGGTTACCGGCATATTCACGCTCCTCTTGTATGACGTGGTCACGGTGGAGCCGGGACTGGCCCGGGACCAGGACTGGGACCGAAAACCGCTGGAGGGGGTGCCGCTGGAGCGGCTGTAGCCATAGCTGGTCGTTCTAGTATCCATAGTTCTCCTGAAGGGACTCCCTACAGTGTCCACCGGGTAACTCATCCGGTTAGACCACAGAAGGGGATGTGCGCAAGAATGAAGGAGGACGGTGCAGGACGTGCAGGAGTGTGGCGAACGTTTATGTGGGTGTATGTGTGCGTGCAGGTGAGGGGTGTGTGGCTCTCACAGCGACTGAGACCTCCTCTGCGTGCTCCTTATATATCCGAGGCTCTGCAGTTGCCAAAGCAAGTATGAGGCAATTTTATTCCATCCACTGAAAGAGGGGGAGGGGAGGGCGCACCCCCCTCGGGCCGTCTGCTAATGGTCCGGGGTCCCGTTCAGCCTGAACCACGTGGGCTATACGGGTTACGTGGGTGTCCGGCTTAAAGTAACCTGACAAAGTAGATAGATAGATAGATAGATAGATAGATAGATAGATAGATAGATAGATAGATAGATAGATAGATGTAGCCCCCTCTTAGTTCAGCACCATGGACAGCAACATGCAGTTCAACAGCAGTATCAGTTGCATTTAACTTCCTTATCCTTCTTGTCAATAATACGGTATAAAGAAGGTAAAAGGGAGTGCCCACCCAGTGATCCACAGCGTGTGTGTGTATGTTCGTGTCTGCATGCTGTATTCTTGTGTTTACATTAATATTGTCCATAGTCTGTCTTTTTGGATCACTGCTGCACAGGGTAATCAAAAACAAGCCATTTTTTGAGGGGGTGGGATTTTTAGTCTTTGTTGGACAGAGCAGTAAAGAGCTTATATTAAAGTAGGAGGAGATCAAGGTGGAATGACTTGCAGGAAATGGCCCAGGGTGGAATAAAGCCTGTGCCTTCCTTAGAAGCCGTTTGGCATATGGGCAACCTGCTCAACCAAGTGAGTTATAGTGGCACTCCATCCCAAATAAATAACTTACCTTATCAAACATCTATGGCCACACATACAGATAATTCAAACTTTAAAGTTGAGTGTTTTTTCTGTTTACTGAGACTTCTAACCATTCATTGATTTCCAAACTTCACAAAGCACAGCTACAAAGTACATTGAATTTTCCAACTCCTGACACAATCTGTTCTTGTAATTGAATGTCTAAACATCAGGTATTCATTCAATAACTTGGGATAACTTCAGTGAAATGTGAAAACTAAAATGTTAACCCACTTTTGTTTTCTTTTTTATCTCCATCATGACAAAATATAATCTTTGTTAATTTACAGAACTGTTTAGAAATTAGTCTGTACAACCTACACGGAGATGTGTTCTAGCTACAACACTGTAATAGTCAGTGTTTATATTTGTACATGCTGCACGTAAACTTTCTTCCAAGTTAGTAGGATTTTTGCATGGGACTTGTGAGTTATCGAAGCATTTGATGAGGACATTTCACCCTCAACAAATGAAGCCTCACTGTGTAGGTTGGCTGCATTGTGGCTTGGGCCATCATTGTATTGATCTCCTGTCAATCTTGAAGCTTCACTCAAATATCGTGTGACTTTGGTCAATGTGAAAATGATTGTTGAAGGTAATGCACCACAAACAGCTGCATCCGCCTTTTTTCCCATCCACTGCTTATTCAATTCTGTCAAAATTCTCAAACCTCTCCTTTGCAAGTGCAGCCATATTTAAAATCCTGCAAAGCCAGTGCAGACATAAGGACCAAGACAGATACTTTTATTGCACATCTGAAGATTGCACTTTGAATTTAAAGCTTTTCAAATAATAATAATAATAATTATCACCTTGATCTACAGTTTATTGCCCCCCCTCATTTCCTTCTGCTGAAAGGCTTAGTCAGGCAGTACAAATGCATCAAGCTTGGCCAATTTTAGATTGCTCCAGAGACAGAAAGGCAGACAGCGAGAGAAAAAGAGGAAGAGGAAGACAGAGAGGGATACAGAGAAAGTCACAATGACTTTCTCGCCCTGTTTGTGCATGTCTGCCTATTTTAAGCGCCATCGTGTATTGTAAGTGATTATACTCCAGGAGCCACACCCCAGTCTCTCTGTTTGCAGACTTTACTGTGCCCTTGATCACTGTCCCATGACGTTCTCTTCGGGCCCTGATACTGGCTGCAGGATTTCAGACAGATATATTTGCTGTAGGGCTGTCGACTCAGAACCTTGAGGTGATTTTGGATGCCCTATAAGGGCGGTGGTGGTGTGATGTACAACTTAGAGTGAGTGTGGGTGGGTTGGGCAGAAAAAGGGGAGTCATTCAACATCAGTTTTGGGCTCCAGCGCACTGCAGAAGGGTTGGAGTGTTTTCAAATAGCACTGCAGTAGAAACAGGCTCTAACAAGGAGACAAGCCCATCCCAGTCAGCCCCAGTCTGTCCCAGCCTGCAACCTGCAGTGAGCCCTCCACAGTATTGAAGTGTACCCGCGTGGGGTCAAGGTGTGGACAACCTTAAGTTGCATAGTGTAGAGGTGTACTGTTACATATTCACAGTAAGCTGCAAGGTCAGCGTGACCTTTTATTAAACCGATACGAGTGGATCATAAAAATGAGCAGCAGCATAGCAATCTTTTGTAATAACAAAATAACACATACATATGTAAGACATTCACCTGTAAACCTAACACATAAGCATCCTTGCATCAACTGACTAATAATGAAAGTAGTCATTCAACTACAGTTTATAATACCATGACTGTGTTTGCTTCACATTCATGTGTAAACTATATACACATGATCATACATGCTGTTCTTTTCTCTTTTTTTTGCCATTTTGTGTAGAGCCAGATGTGGTCATTTTCAAAAGTAGTTCACTAATGAAAAAAAAAATAGTGCTTAAAGGTGTATTACTGTTAATCAACAAATATCAACAGATGTTGCTGCATCCTGTATCAGAGGATACCTGAATAATCTTACTTGTTTCAATGCTCCCATCTAAAAGTGTCATGAAATACAAGACTAAGACTAAAGTTTCAACTTTCCCATGGGTAGTGGGTCATAATTATTTATTTATTATTTATTTATGCTCACTTTCTGCATTACATTCAGTTGAGTGATATTTTATGCTTAAAAATGTCCTATGAAATAATTTCATACTCCATATTCTACACACTAAGTGTGTATTGAAAATAATATATTTGCACTAATGATGACTCTGTAGACTTCTATGTAGTTATAGCTATAGACTTTCAAAGTTATACATACATTTCACTAATAGAAATATTGCCTTTAATATTGCCTATATATATATATATATATAAATATATACATACATACATATATATACTGCCACTGTGAAGCAGTTTTGTACTTTGGTACAACTACACTGAATAAAAAATCAGAGAGTCAATAGCTTCAAGCACAGAGCACATATACTAAAGTCCAAACAGCCGTTTAATTATCAAATCTAAACCTGGTTCTCCCAGAGGTTTCTTCCTGTTAAAATGGAGTTTCTCCTTCCCACTGTCGCTTGCTCATAGGTGGTCATCTGATTCTTGGGGTTTTGTCTTTTTTCTCTGTATTATTTTAGGGTTATCTACAAACTAAAGCTCCTTAAGGCAACAGTGTTTTGTGATTTGCCGCTATACAAATAAAACTGAATTGAATTAAATAACTAGATAATGACAAATGCTTTGTGTTTGTGAAGTCAATAAGTCAGACTACTTCCAGATTCAACCATGGCAGAGTATTAAAATTTACAATTTATTAGTACATTTGTCAAACTAAAGTCCAGTTTCTGGTTAAATCCAACTTGAAAATAGGTAACCATCAATTAGCAGGAGTTAAGACTGCTTACAAAATACATATATTTTGATTCAAAGAGAGACTTTACGAGTGTTAGTTGGTGTAGTCACCAAGTTTAGTCATCTCTAATTGTAGTATTATATTTAGAGCTTAATCTACCTAAAGGTTTTAATGTAGCCTTCTTGTAATAGTATTCAAGAGGACTGAGAATCTATAGCTTAACTAAATAATTGCAATACTTACCACAATGATGCTTCGATCTTTCATGCAATTAACAAGGCTGCCTGTTGCCTTTATGTCACTTATTTATTCATGAGGTGAAGCAGTATGTCATGAGCCAGAGGAGAGAAAGAATGACACTGAGACATAAACACACAGACATAAACACAGGGAGATTAATTAAGACGTCTGCTGATAATTCTCAGCTCCTCAGTACAGAGAGACTTCACAGGTATACACTTATATTACATTGTAGGTCCATATATGAAAACAGGACATTTGATTAACCCTTTCATGCATGAATTATGACAACTTCATTTAGGATTTTTATTCATCTTTAGGCATGAAAAAAAGATTTTTGAACTTTTTCAACATCTTTTTTTAAGCATGCACTTTTCAAAGAATTTTTTACATGTCCACTTAGGTGGACAACTGATGTGTATGGAGTGACACATCAGTGTCCAATGTAGTGGTTTATGTGCAAGTATACCATCAACACTGACACAAATACAAGAAAACAGCCTTTGAATAGCTGTTCACTGTAGTGACCACTATGTGTGAAAGGGTCAGTGATCAAATGTCACATCTTTGACTGTCTTCTTTCTGTTAGGAGACCTCGGTCATCAACCCAGAGTTTTGGGTTTTCATTATTATTGCACTTTGATTTTGCCTTAATTTATCATTTCTTGCCTTTTGGTTTCTTTGTGCGTGTTCTACTTTCTGGTTTCTGTCTGTGTTTCTTAGTTGCTCCACTGTCAGCTGTATCCCCTTGTCAAGTCCGCGTCTCTGTGTTATGTTTCCTGTTTTACTTTGAAGCCTGTGTCTCAGGTTATTGTATCAAGTTTTGCTTCCCCTGTCTCGTTAGCCCTGATTTGCCCCAGCTGTGTTTCCCTTCTGTCTCTCATTCACTGATTGCTCCTCTGTGTATTTAAGCCCTGTGTTTTCCTTTGTCTGTGCCGTGATCCCCATCATCCCATGCTGTGTGTTCTGTCCATCTGCTTGCCAGTTTAGGTTTCCAGCCATCCACCCACCAGTAAAGTTGCATTTGAGTTTATCTTTTTGCTCTTTGTGTCTGTGCTTCGGGTCCACCGCTCCTGCCTGTACACAGCCACACATGACACTTTCATCCACCTTGGTAACCTTGTCAAATTCATCTACAGTACTAGCAGTTGTAACACTGGTGTCCTTCAAAGCACCAGACTGTAAAAATGTCATACATAGGTGAAAAGTCTGTACTGATGTATATATATATGATTTTCTGAAGTGATGCATTAAGGACTGTGTTACAGTTATTTTATTTTAAACCTTTGGTTTAAAATGAA